TGATTGCAGAACTCTGTTACCTGTAATGCATTGAGCAATTTAGTTGAAAAATGCGTAAAAAATATGGGCAAAAATAACGGACAAGAAGACATTTAGATAAATAAAGTTTATCTTAAAATATTAATCTAAAATCATTCTTGCTTTACTTTTAGTATATGACTCTCAACCCTTCAACCAAGAGGAAGAGCTCTCGGTCACCTGACAGAAAACTTGCCAAGAAATCCAAAGGGGATGGATCATCACTGGGGCAGCCACTGAGCCCCACCCTGTGGTGCCATGTGCATTTGGAGAAGTCTATAATTGGCTCTCCACTGATGGTGAAAAACTCTAAGAATTCAAAATGTCCTAAAGAGGAGCTGGAAGAGGTGATGAAAATCGTGTCACCTGCTAAACTTGGTTCTAACTTTCACATACCAAAGAGGAGTCGACTGGGAAAGGGTAACAACAAATCCTTGGACAAAAAGCAAAGAGGCAAAAGGGTTCTGAATGGGCAGAAGTCATCAGGGAAGTCAAAATCTCCCAGGAAAGGCTTGAAGACCCCCAAGATGAAAATGAAACAAATGACACTACTGGACATGGCTAAAGGTACCACTAAGGTGTCCAGAGCTCCCAGGAGTTCTGGAGGCACCCCTGGATCTTCCAGGAAACCCCAGAAACATCTGCCTCCTGCAGCACTGCATCTCATTGCCTATTACAAGGAAAACAAAGACAGGGAAGACAAGAAAAGCGCTCTGTCCTGCATTATCTCCAAAACAGCTCGGCTGCTCTCCAATGAGGACCGTGCCCGTCTCCCCGAGGATCTGAGGGGCTTGGTGCAGAAACGCTACGAGCTCCTGGAGCACAGGAAGAGATTGGCTGCCATGACAGAGGAGCAGCGGAAGGAATACATGAAGAAGAAAAGGCAGAATCTGAAAGAGAAGCTGAGGGAGAGAGCAAAGGAGAGGAAGGAGAAGGAGATGAAGGAAAAACTGGAAAAACAAAAGAGATTTGAGGACCAAGATCTGAAAGGGAAGACTTTGCCTACTTTTAAACTGGTGGATACTCCAGAAGGACTTCCTAACACACTCTTTGGGGACGTGGCCATGGTGGTGGAGTTCCTGAGCTGTTACTCAGGGTTGTTGATGCCGGATGCTCAGTATCCCATCACGGCTGTGTCCCTGATGGAAGCTCTTTGTGCAGAGAAGGGAGGCTTCCTCTACTTGAACCGTGTGCTGGTCATTCTCCTGCAGACCCTGCTGCAGGATGAAATTGCTGAGGACTATGCTGAGCTGGGAATGAAGCTCTCTGAAATCCCCCTCACTCTACATTCTGCTTCCGAGTTGGTTCGCCTGTGCCTGCGCAAGTC